GTAGATCCCAGTAATTCATTTAATATTTTAGCATGGTTTAGGTGAAAGCTTATAAAGCAAATTAGTTTTCCAGTCAGCGATTCACACACAGACTGTTCTATGACATTCGTTGCCATGTCCACATTCTGTCAGCATTCTCCCATTTCCACTGGCCTGCTTTTCCTGCCTTCTTACCTGTGCTTCTGGGCCGAGGCATCCCTTTGGTCTTGACGGTAATCATAACAGAGGTAGCTCACCAGGCCTCTTTTGAGAGTGGGTTGGAACTGTCAACCTCGAGGTTAGCAGTGGAGTGCTGGCCGTTTGCACCATCCAGAGACTAGCTGCTAGGCATGTATATCGGTGAGTAAGGCCAATACTGTCCCGCGTCCCAGCAGCTCTGAAAGCCTTCACTGACAGACTGCGTGAGACGCATTGGCTGCGAATCGAACCAAGTTCCCCACATGGAACCACAACACCAAACACCTGGGCCAAGAGAACTTGCTGAGGAATTGAGTTCTAGGTTTTAAGTGGAGCAACTGGTTGGCTGCCCTGGCTAACATGAGGATGACGGAGGAGAAGAGGAGTTTCAGGAGAGCAGGGACAATCGAGTTCTGTCTGAGCCATGTGAAGTTACAAGTACCCAGGAAACCACCAAATGGTCGGGGATGGAGAAATAAATATGGCACAAAGGCGTCTAACGACCATTGTTGCCAGCGTCTAACTTGCCTTGAAATCACTGGGGATCTTAGTAAGATGCAGATTCTGGCTCTGTCTGGACAGGGCCCAAGAGTCCACATTTGTAACAGAGCACACTTTGAGTGGGAAAAACCTAGGACAGGGCTTGGCATACAGTGGCCAGCAGGTCAGACCTGGCCCGTGGTCTGTGTTTGTACAGCCCCAAATAAGAGTCTTCTTCGTTTTCAAAAGGGGGATAAAAGATGATGCATATGCAGCCTGCAAAGCCTTTCTTCTCTGGCCCTTAAAGAAAGAGCTGGGCCTCCTGATGTAAAACAAGTCTGTGTAGCTACAGAAAGGAGACGAGGACCTGAACCCTAAAGCAAAGGATTAACTGGCCAATAATCCTCAGCGTCACTAGGGAGTGCAAGCAGGTGCTCGACTATCAATGCAAAGGCTGGGAGTCCAACTCATGCGGAAGGTACTTGGAAGGAAAGACCTGACACTCCGATTCCAGAGGTCACGGCCTTGCAAATGCCCCAGAGCACGTTTCTTCTGGCACATGGGGTGGCTGTGCGTCGGGATGGATCAACGAGTCTAAATCACCACGGCACACTGAGAAATCAATGTCAAAACACTGTACCCATGCTAAGTTCAAAACACTGCACACCTGTGCTAAGAAGACCGTGAGTCCTGAAACAGGAGCCCGGCAGCAAGGGGAGGCATGGGCCGAAGCACTGGAGCCCTTTGGGGTTTCTCACTGGGAAGAAGAACTGTGGTGAGCCAGGAACTAATGCTTTCAGTTCTCATATTGGAATACAATGTTCAAAATGCAAAGAAGTGGCAGGGGCCACAGTCCGCTGTGTCCAGTGACAGAGGCACTGAAAAGTAGAAATAAAACAGAGACACGGAGACGGCGGCTCTTTCCGTGGTGCACACTGTCCTGGGGACGCTCTGCTGGTGCTGAGAAAGGGAAGCCCCCGCTGCGCAGCAGGTCGTGCGGCTTCTAACCGGGATGATGACGCAAGGCTGCGCCGGCGAGCCGCTGGGACCCTCGCAGGTTCAGCAGATGCGGAGAAGAGACCTTGATCTGACGTGCAGCTCGGATAGACAAAACCGGCCGAATCATCTGCTCCCGCTGCACCAGCCTGCCATCACGGGGCGGCCGACCTCAGCTGCCATTAGGGACCAGGAGGCAGCAAGACAAAGATAAGCAGGAGGAAAAGTCCTGGGCTTCTCTTTCAAGGGATGTGATGCACATAAATAAAACGCCTAAGCGGTTATGTGTTGGGCGTCAGTCCGCCGGTTCAAAACCATCAGCAGCTTCTTGGGAGAAAGACTGGTTAGTCTCAGAAACCCACCGGGGGTCGCGCTGAGTCAGCATGGACTCAATGACAGTGAGGAATGGACAGAAAAAAAATAAATACAGAGCTGGCCATACATTCGACAGGTAACCTCTTGGGAAAGAATCCTCTGGACCTTGGCAGGTGTGGGGAGCGAGGCAGAGGGACTGAGAAAGGTTAGGGAGAGGCAAGACAGCAGAAAAACGGCCGCAGGGCACGAAGTTCAGTGGCTGTCCCAGCCATATTCAGCCACACTGGGCACTGTCACATTTCTCCCACCCCCACCCCGTGCTGAGGGGCACATGTGTTTTAAATGTTAACCTCTGAGGAAGTAAACACAGCTGCCCACTTCCCTCAAGTTAATCTGCTCTCTTTCAAAGGAGGACCAGACTGTTTTCCTTCCAGTTGTGGAAGGTTTGTTTGTCTGACATCAGGCAAGCACACGAAGGACAATAATAACAGCCTTTCTTGAAGGGATGGGAAGTCCCCATCTATCAAAATGATTGTAGCAGGATATCTGTGGTGCCGAACTGTTCTAAAGTGCTGGCGATGGGCAAATATAAGGAGAAGGATAGTACCAAGCGTCCATGTGTCCCAAACAGATCCCAGAACTTCCTGGCTGGAAGTAATCTTCAAACAACCAGCCCCCCCCAGGCTTTCAACAAAGTGCCTGCAAAATCTAACCACTCAAGGAAGAAAAAGCAAAAACAACAACTTGTGCTATGTTTGGCTTTTGGCATGGAATCATCTTCTTCTTTTTAATAAATTAAAAACTAATAAAACCGCTGTCATTTGAAAAAAAATCAAGAAAAGGTTGTTCATACCAAAAGAAACCCACTTTGATGCTCAGGAGGGGCCGGAGGGAAGCAGTGGACTGAGCAGACAGGCGTTAGCTTTGCTGAAGGGAAGATAATATATTACAGGGCGCAGGGAGAGGGAGTGAAGAGGAACAGGGTAAGCCAATGGGAGCTTTGATAAGGTTTCGAATGCAAAATGATGATCTGCTATATAAACCCCCAACTGGTCAATACAATCTTGGGGGGCCCACAAAAATGGAAGCAAACACAAATCTCTTTCCTTCTCTTTAAAACCATATGGAACTAAACTGACAACAGCAAACTGAAAGGGTAGAAAACTTCAAAGGCACCGAACGGATGTTAATGAGAAGGAAAATTTGGAAAAGGAGGGTGTCAAAGGTTGCACAGCTTGAAGAATGTATAATCGCTAACGCATACATGTGGAAATGACTGAATTGCATAGCACCAACGAAACATACAACTTTCCTCTAGTTCTTTAATGCTTCTTCCCCTCTACTATCATGATCCCAATTCTATCTTACAAGTCTGGCTAGACCAGAGGATGTACACTGGTACAGATAGGAACTGGAAACAGGGAATCCAGGACAGATAAACCCCTCAGGTCCAATAATGAGAGAAGCGATACCAGGAGGGGGAGGGGAAGGTGGCAGAGAAAAGGGGAACTGATCACAAGGATCTACATATAACCCCCTCCCTGAGGGACAGACAACAGAAAAGTGGGTGAAGGGAGACATCAGACAGTGTAAGACATGAAAAAATAATAAATTATCAAGGGTGAGGGAGGGAGAGAGGGGGAAAAAATGAGAAGCTGATACCAAGGGTTCAAGTAGAAAGCAAATGTTTTGAGAATGATGATGGCAATAAATGTACAAATGTGCTGACACCATGGATGGGTGTATGGATTGTGGTAAGAGTTGTACGAGCCCACAATAAAATGATTTTTTTTTAAATTGTTGAATTGCTGTATGTTCTGCTGTGTAGTCTCAAAAGAACCACAATACGTTGAAAACAGCAAGGGGGGGGGGACTGTCTTTTCTGACACATGCTACAACATAGATGAACCTATGTGGAGTGGAATAGGTCAGTTACAAAAGACAAATGAATACATGGTCCCACTTACATGAAATATTTTCAATAAGGAAGTGTCTAGAGGTCAAAGTTCTTTTTTATTGATCACTAATGGCTATGACGAGTGGGAGGGAGGGAAGAGGAAAAGTAAATAGACGCACTGCTTAGGGGACACGGAGCTTTTGTGAAGGATGATGGACACATTTGGGAATGTTCGATAATAATGGCTGAGCATAATGAATACAATTAATGTCACTGGGCTGTACAGGTGAAGATTGCTGAAACAAGTGATTCATACTACTAAACATTCGATACACACCAAACTTCTGTATGCAACCCGTGACTTCCCACCTTTCTCGAGCCCGTCTTCCTTGATCACACTATTTCTATCTTCTAGCAACGAGTGAGCTCCTGCAGAGGTAATGGATCTTCAGAGTGACCAGCGCTATCGACAGAAAGACCTTAGTTCGTCTGCCCCCTACTGGTAACTCTGATTGATAGCTGGCTATTTAACTTCCCCAGGCCTCACCTATGAAGTTCTGTCACATGGGGCTATTTTGAGGAGTAAGCAAAAGAATGCATGGAAAACATTTACAATGGTGGCCAGCACCGAAGAGGCCGCCTGCCCCTGCAGAGAGCTGCAGTCTCTGAAACCCACAGGGGCTGTTCTCTGTCCCATCGGGTCCCTGAGAGTCAGAATTGACTCAGAAACAATGGGTGGGACAGACGAAGTATTGAGAATTATGATTACTTCATAAGTGGGTAAAACACATACAGCAGAATAGGTTTCCTCGACACCAGCACTATTGCTGTCTTGGGGATGGGATGTTCTTGGTGGTGGGCTATTCTGTGGCTGGTGTAGCTGCATTCCTGGCCTCTGTGCACTAGATGCCCATAGTACTATCCACCCCTGGCTGTGGCCACCAAAATGGTCTCTTGTTGCTGTTGTTGTGAGTGCCTTCAGGTCAGTTCTACCCCACAGCAACCCCGTGAACAACAGAACGGAACGCTGTCCGGGACACAGCAGCTCAGATGCCTGTCTCCCTTCCACTGCACGAGAATCTAACAATCCACACCTAATTTTCCATCATCGCCCTCTTTGCCCCTCTGTGCTCACCACTCAGTTGCCTTGGCGGGAACAGGTGATAGGTGCTGTAGATGTCGTTGCAGAACTGCAACTGGAGGTCAGGGCTGCCCCGCAGGAGCTGGGACACTTGCTCCACTTGAAACGGCGTCTTCTCTAAGATCACAACGGCATCCTCTCCGTCCCCGTCCCCGGAGGCCTCATTCACCTAGGGGCAGAGACATGTTCAGTGGGGGTGGGGCGGACCACGGGAAACCAGGAGGACAGAAGCAGACATTCTCTGGGCCTGTGGGTCTCCACACTTGAGATTTCCTTCCCTGCAGTTTCCCCAGGAGGAGCGTCTTAATTCAAAATCTTGCAGCGGCTCTCACACCCGGGAATATTCTAAATGGAGTCCTGGGGCATCATGAGTTGACTGTGGGGCTGCTGACTGCAAGGTTGGCAGTTCAAACCCACCAGCGGTTCCAGTGGAGAAGGATGGGGCTGTCTGCTCTTGCAAGATCTATAGCTGGGAAGCCCTAAGGGACGTTCTACGCTGCTTCATACAGAGCCCCTAAGAGCTGGACTCACTCAATGGCAGTGGGCTTGGTGTGTGTGTGTGATCACATTAAAGACGTAGGGAAACTAGCTGCTCACCACGGAGTACTAAGGAAGCACAAGTAAACGCATTCTTCTTTTGCTGGCTGGGTACTCTGTTCCTGCCAGGGATTGCACATTTGAAGAGGCTTTGGATCTGTAGGAACTGAGGTCGGCAAATTGTGGTTCTGGAGGCACATGCGGCTCTTTTGGTACATACATGTGGCTCTGAAGGAAAGTGAACACTTTAAAGGAAATTATTCAAATAGTGGTGATTTCATTTGTTTGCCAAAATACATTTCTGGATCTCGAAAAATTTTGAAATGGTTGTGAAGGGCAGGATTCGCTTTTCCACCTCAAAAGTTTGCCGGCTTCTACTTAGGAAGGTGGTCTGGGGCGGGAAGACAGACACTAGCACAGCTAGAAGCAAAATCTTTGATGTGGTGAAAACGTGTGGAACCATTCACTATAGATTAATATGTAAGTACACGTTACCATGTGCTTACCTTAATTATTGGTTTACAGACACCGCTCACATAGTTCTTCCAAAAACGCAAAGCTTCTCAGATGCATTCTTCCTTTAGACATAAAAGGCCACAAGCAAAGCCTCCCCATCTTATAGCCAAATAAACTGTCTACACCTCTTTACAGGGGGCGACAACCCCCAGCTTTCTCTCTAGGACCAGCTGGTGATTTCGAACTGCTGACCCTGAAGTTAGTGGTCCAATGACTAACCACTCTGCCAACTGGGCTCCTTAGAATACCACACAGAACCTTATAAAACAAAAACAACATATAACCTTCTCCCTGGGGGACGGACAGTAGAGAAGTGGGTGAAGGGGGATGTCGGACAGTGTAAGATATGACAAAATAATAATAATTTATAAATTATCAAGGGTTCATGGGAGAGAGGGGAGCAGGGAGGGGGGGGGGGAATGAGGAGCGATACCAGGGGCTCAAGTGGAAAGCAAACGTTTTGAGAATGATGAGGGAAACAAATGTACAGGCGTGCTTGAGACAATGGATGTATGTATGGATTGTGATAAGAGTTGTATGAGCCCCAATAAAATGATTTAATTAAAAAAAAAAAGATTTAAAATGTAAACCCCAGAGCACTCAGGATCATCAATAAAAAAAATTGGGACATGGCCATCTAGCTGAGAAGCAACAAAGCCCACATGGAAGAAGCACACCAGCCTGTGCGATCACGAGGTGTCGAAGGGATCAGGTATCAGGCATCATCAGAACAAAAAAGCATATCATTGTGAATGAGGGGGAATACGGAGTAGAGACCCAATGCCCATTTATAGGCCACTGGACATCCCCTTACAAAAAGGTCTTGGGGAGGAGAAGGTGCGATGTAGCAACAATGAAACAAACGTTCCTCTAGTTCCTAAATGCTTCCTCCCCCCTCACTATCATGATCCCAATTCTACCTTATAAACCTGGCTAGACCAGAGGATGTACACTGGTACAGATGGGAGCTGGAAACAGGGATTCCAGAGCGGATGATCCCTTCAGGACCAGTGGTGTGAACGGTGATACTGGGAGGGTGGGTTGGAAAAGGGGGAACCGATTACAAGGATCTACATATAACCTCCTCCCTGGGGGACAGACAGCATAAAAGTGGGTGGAGGGAGACGTCTGACAGTGCAAGACATGACAACATAATAATTTGTAAATTATCAAGGGTTCATGAAAGAGGGGGGAGCGGGGAGGGAGGGAAAAAAACGAGAAGCTGATGCCAGGGGCTTGGGTGGAGAGCGGATGTTTTGAGAATGACGAGGGCAATGAATGTACAAATATGCTTTACACAATTGATGTATGTATAGATTGTGATAAGAGTTGTATGAGCCTCTAATAAAACGATTTAAAAAAAAAGGAAAATTGGGGCAAACAAAGGCCCTATTGTAAGGCATGCATAGGCTATGAAGCATAATAAAGGAAGCCACACAGTGAAACACATACTAGATAGCTGGTACTTATTATGACAGTTACATAATTTCATGTCAACTTGATAAATAAGTGTAAGGGTGGACTTTAACCTGTCAATCAGGTCACAGCCTGATGATGCCTTCTTGTGGGAAAAGCCTTCTAAGGAGGATTCTGGGAACTTCCTTTCTTTCTTTCTCCCTGGAGGCAGGCCACTTGGAGACTTGCTGAGACCCATGAAAGCCCCTCTCTCTGCTTCACCTTCCTCTTGAAGAGCCACACTCAGAGAGCTGGAAGAGCCATGTGTGGATCAGTGCCAGCGCTGAGATGCCTCCACTGCCAATGGATCCATAGGACGTTGCACCCACCAGCCTGTGATCTTCCTGCATGATGCATCATTGCTGGTGATTGCTTAAGTCTGAAGAGGGATTTATGGACTAGTATTGAACTTATGGGATAATATCAGATGTATGGACTTCATCTGGACTAAGCTGTGATGTTTTCTCAATATACAATTGTTCTTTGATATAAAGCTCTCTCTTATACATTAAAAAAAAAAACAACAACACACAAACAAACCAAAAAAAAGGGACACAGGGAGAGTTATAGAAAACTTGGCCCTGGTCCTGTTCTAAAAAAAGTGAGGACCCCTACTCAGATGTTTTGGGGAATCCTGACACCTGCCCTCCTCACTGTCTCTGACTCCCAGGACAGCCTCCACTCTCCTCAGACCCTGCTCCAGGCCTCAGCCCACTGTGCTGCAGAGAGCCAGTCATGTATGCGGTGTCTTCCCAGACTCATTCCGGCACTTCTGCAGAGCCAGGGCAGGAATCTGTCGGCTGTACAGCCCAGCACCTAACTCAGTGCCTAGCACATGGAATTGACTCATTAGCTGCTGCCGAGTCAGCTCCCAACTCAGCTGTTGAGACAATTTCTGCATAATGACATCCAATGCTGCCCAGTGCTGCACCATCCCCTGTTGCACCAATGCTGTTGATGGAGCCATTGGGGGCCAGCAGCGTTTTTAATGACTGGTCCTCAGAAGCATAAAGCCAGGCCTGTCTTCCTGTTCTGAGCCTGGAAGCTCTGTTGGAAACTTGTTCAGCATCAAAGTAATACTTAAGCCTGCACAAACAAGTGGGTGGTGGCTGCACATCAGGTACACAGTCTAGGAATCAAACCCAGGTCTCCTGTAGGGAAAACTCACTGCCAGGGAGTCCATGCCAACTCATAGCAACTCACTAGGGCAGGTTAGAACTGCTGCTGCTGTGGCTTTCCAAGCCTGTAACTGTTTACCAGAGCACGAAGCCCCTTCTTTCTCCCACGGATAGGTGTATTCAAACTGCTAACTTGGCAGTTAGCAGCCCAAACCGTAACCACTACGCCACCAAGTGAGAGAAATTCCACAAGTGATGCACTGCTGCCTGGTGGACAGGTTACTAGCATGGAAGGCTGCTGAGGGTCTGAGGAGCAAGGATCTTAGCTCCTTGGCTTACCTCCTACTCTCTATATCCGGGTGGTGTAGTGGTTACCAAATGGGATGTCAACCCCAAGGTCAACAGTTCAAAATCACAGCAGCTCTGCGGAAGAAAGCATGGGCTTTCTACTCCCGTAATCAAAAATCCACAGGGGAAGGTCTATTCTGCCTTATCGGGGCGCTGAGTTGGAAATGATGGCAGTTTCGTTGCTTTTGTATTGAGTCCCTATGACTCAATGGCTGTGGGGTTTGAGTTTATGTCGGTAGAAGGGCTGGGGTGCGAAACACTGTCCGTTTACTGAGTTCCTGGGAATGCACAAGTTATACCCTCTGGAAGGATTGAGGATTGCTAGAAATTAGATCCACATGTATTAATTCCCTTCCGGTCATCTTTTCCTCTGGCCACCTCCGCCCAGCACCTTAGTGGTGTACCTCCCCTCCCACGAGTAACAGATTAGATTCTTTCCGTCTGAAATCCGGAAGGGAAAAAAAAGCCCGCCTCGGAAGAGAGGATTGGTTCACTCCTTCCCCGCCCCCGCCCTCGGAACACTCAATCGTACCTTCCCATGCAGGAAGATGATTTTGTCCCGCGCAGACTCTCTCAGCACTTTGTGCACTCTAAAGCCGGAGAAGGGTAAGCGGTCAAGAGTTGCGGTACCATTTCCAACGCCTGCTTCCTTTTCCTCTGAGCCGGGGCCTGTCTCCTCCTCGGCATCCCTTTCGCGCTTCCTCTTGGTGGGCTGAGCCGCAGTGTCCGCCATGCCGCCGGAGAGACGAAGTGCGCCTGCGCACACGGCGAGCACCGCCCAGGCCGTCTCCCCGAGGGGGGGGAGTGCCAAGCTCAAACTACAACTCCCGACATGCTCCGGGCTCGGACTCCGCAAACTCAAAGGGGCCCCGCCAAAGCATGGGTATTGGGCTTTGTAGGAGCCCAGTGGCATCGTGGGTTACGCTTTCGAATGCTATCCTAAGATGCTAATCGAAAGGACAGCAGTTTGAAACCACTAAACGTTTCTCGGGCTTTCTATTCCCGCAGGCATTTATAATCTCGGAAACCCACAGGGGCAGTTCTAACCTGCCCTATAGGGTCACTATGAAAGAGAAATGAGGTTTTTTAGTTTTTAATTATTTAGGGAAGCCCTAGGGGCACTGTCCGTTAGAGTTGGAGTGCATACCAGCAAGGTTGGTAGTTCAAACCCACCAGCCACTCTGGGAGAGCATTCAGGTGGAATTTGCACACTTTATTCAAGTGCTTTCCTACCTGGATCCGTGTTCAGTGCTGAGGGTAAAAAGAAAAGGCCAAGTATGGCAGGTGAAGAGTCGTTAAAAATACCTCAGCACCTCTCCTAGCCGGCAGAGGACACCTCAGCCGCCACAGCACCTGGACCCTGTGAATGCTTAAACTCCGTGTTTGCATGAAACCTACTAGCCATACCAACATTTTAATCAGTTATTGCGAAAGGAATACTTCTGAAACAAATCTATCGAACCAGTTTTATTTCTTGGTCATTTTTTATACAGAACCCGTTAACCATGTTCATTTAAAGTTTCAATGCAATTGCTTTCTTTACAGACACAGCACTTTTTTGCACTGTAGTCAGAGAAAGGAGGGAGGACAGGGATGGATACCATTATAATGCCGGCTCCTTTCCTTAGGGTCTCTGGATTTCTGACCCGTGTCCACTTTATGACCCAGAAATGTGCTGTTGCATGAATTATGATTCACCTATTCGGAATTTTTTCCACCCTTAGGTAAAACTTAAGGGATGTGTGTCTATTAGTTCTGGCTAAGAAGCCTTCTGGCGTAGTGGTCTGCTGGGATCAGCAAGGTCTGTCAAAACCACCAGCTCTCCTTTAGAGTTACAGTCTAGGAAACCCACAGGGAAGCTCTCCCTGTCCTATAGGGTCACTATGAGTCAGCATTGACTCGATGGCAGTGAGGTTTGTTTGTGGGGTGTTTTTTTTTGGTATTACTTTAGGCGGCAGTCTTCCTTGGATAAACTAACTAGCTGTGCAACTTTGGGTAAGTCACTTATCCTCACTGGGCCTGTTTTCTAGCTGCCAGGCATTGTCAGTAGTACTGTCTGCACAAGACAGACGAGGTGTCTTACTTTTAGAACATTCATATCCAAGAGGCAGTGGGGTGAGGCCAACAAATAAGATAATTTTAGATGGTGATTAAATACAATGGATAGAATAAAACGATGTGCTAAAACCTCGCAGTATGGATAAGGCACTTTAGATGAGGTGGTCAGGGAGGGCCTGCTCAGGTGTCGACATGTAAGCTCCGACTTGACTGATGAGGAGGAAGTGGCCAGGTGAGACCAGGAAAGTGTAATGCAGGCATCGTAAATATGGGATGTGAAAGACCCTGAAGCAGAAATGAGCTTGATGTTTTAGAAACAGGAATGACTAATGTGGTTGAATTAGAGAGCTTAGAGCAAGTGGGGAGGGGGCAGGGGAAAAGGAATGAAAACTGTGTAGAAATGTTTGTTTAGGGCAGATTTATGAACTCAGGTATAATTCGGTTTAAATTATACATGAACTTAGACGTCTTCTCCTAAGAAGTTCTCACTCAGGAAAACAGCTCAGGGGAAGTCTCAGTCCTCACCCAGGAGACAGCCGTTCAGTCGCCTGCCAGAAGAAATGCTGGTTCCTCTCATTTCAGAGGTGAAGGCAGAGACTACGACAGCATCGATTCTGGCCCCTGATGCTTTGATGTTTGATGCTCTGACCCTTGATGAGGTCCCCATATTACCAAAAGTGATCATTAAAAAAAAGGTATAATATTCTTTTATTAAAAATATATATGTTTGTACTCATTTCAATTTATGTTTTGCCTTCTATTATTATTGGTGGCGTAGTGGGACAAGTTGGGCTGCGATCCGCTGGGCTTTCTACTCCCTTAACAGCTACAATCTCAGCAACCCACAGGAGCCACTGTGAGTCAGCAGGGACTGCATGGCAGCGAGTTTGTCTGTCTGGGTTTATTGTGGTTGCCAGTAGCTTTTGGGTCACCCCAGGCGAAGCTCTCGGCCTCGGTTTTACTTGTTCTTTGCTGCACCTGCTCTTCCCCCGACCCCCATCCTGTGCAGCCAGAATGGCTCGGGCTTTGAGTCTTTCATGACACTCGTGCAATGAACGTACAGTACATTACAATGCTGAGTGCATCTTTCTAGTAGCTTCTTGAGGTGAACGAACTGGATTCCCCTGGGAGAGAGAACAGCCATGCTGACTCTGGAGCACTTGATGCGGCTTTCTTCTGACCCTTTTCCAGGGCCACCCAAGCAACAGAGAGGTCACTTCATTAGGAGGGATGCAGAGCTCCCTCGGCACTGACTTCAAGGGAGGAAAACAGGTAACCACCAGGCTTTACTTTCAATTAGGCAGGAGGCAAAACACCTGGTGGTCATCGGGCATCAACACCACCTCCTGGCACCTCCCTTCTGCAGCTTTCCCAAGTCCTTCCTGGGGAACTCTGACTTCCTCGTGACCTTTCCAGGAGCCCTCGCTGATAGAAGCCTGAGTAGCAATCTGATCACAGGGTCACACACAAAGTACTGCAGATTCCCGCACCTTCCTTTCCTGTTGCAGCTTTTGCTGGAACTTGAGGCCTTTGAAGGGCTCTCTATTCCCAGCTTTCTTCAACTTCGCTGGGCTGTCCAGTAACATGAGGATGCTCAATGGAGTGTCTTCAGATCTGAAAGAGACCAAATGGAATCACAACACTTGTCATCCTGCTCAGGTCCCTGCCTTTTCTTTCCGTCCTGTTCATCCATTCTGCTTGTTTCAAACCCACTATTATAGAATGCCCCTCTCCTGACTACAAGTACCATATGCCACTTTCTCCTATTCTGGCTTCCTGGCATCTTCCCAGCTCTTGGTTGACAGACCCACCTCAATCTTGGAGAAAACTAGTATGTACCAGTTATGTCAAAGTTAGTTCCAGCTCATGGCAACCCCGTCTATGTCAGAACAGAACTCCACAGGTTTTCAATGGATGTGACTTGAGAAGCAGATTGCCCGGTATTTCTTCTGAGGCCTATTGTAGAGCAGGTTTTAGCTGCCAACCTAAGAAGTCAAGCACTTAGCCATTTGTAGCACCCAAGGACTCTGATATAATATACAATACTAAGTAATGTCTGTTACTAATACCTAACTCTGAAGGACGAGTCACTGACAACCTTAGGAAGAGCAGCAGAACACTGTCAGATATGAAGCGGAGCCCCTCGGGTTCGAAGGCATTTGAAAAATGATGACGAGGAGCTGCCTCCTCAACGCAGTCAACCTTAACGACATCAATGGAACAAAGCCTCCAGGACCATCATCCGTTGATTGGCATGACACAAAAGTAGAAGAAACAGCTGGAATCGGGACATGCAATTATGATGTATGAATCTAGATAAATTGAAAGTTGTCGAAAATGAAACAGAACACGCACAGATCGATAGCCTAGACAGTGAGCTGAAATAGACTGATCATGGTCATTTTGAATGAAGACAATTATTATATAGTTTACGGTTCAGAAGTGACAAAGTCAAGAGGAATGGTTTTCCATTGTTTGTCAAAAATCCTGTCTGGGTTACAATAACATCTAGAGACCTACCAGGAAGACCATTTAATACTATTATCCAAATTCATACACCAACCACTAAAGCCAGGGGTGAAGGAACTGAAGATTTCTACTAACTTCTTCAGTCTGAAATCGCTCAAACATGCAATCAAAGTGCACTGATAACTACTAGTGATGGCCACATACAAGTGGGAAGCAAAGAGGAAGGATCAGTAGTTGGAAAATATTGCCGTGGGGACAGAAATGGAGCTGACCATTGCATCATAGAATTTTGCAAGACCAACGACTTCTTTGCAAATACTTTTCTTCAACCACAGAAATGGCCACTATGCATCTCACCTCATGAGATGCAGCTATCAAATGACTATCGTGGGAAGAGACCCGGGATCATCTCCATAGCATCAGGCGAATCAAGGCCAGGAACCAACTGGGGAGCAAGCCGTTAATTGCTTATAGACAAGTACGTTGAAGCTAAGAAAATTAAAATGAGTCCATGAAACCAAAACACAACCCGAGTACATCCCACCTGAATTTAGAGACCTTCTCAAGGTCAGTTTTGACAAGAATTGCAGCCTTCGGTATGAATTACAACTCAATGTAAAGGAACCAAAAATCCTCACCACTGAACTCATCGACATCATCATGGTAAATGGAAAAAGACTGAAGTCGTCAAGGGTTCAGTTGTGCTTCGATCCAAATGCTCATGGAAGCAGCAGTCAAGAGATCAACCAACTGGGAAACTCTCTGGTACAAGACCTACTTGAAGCGTTAGTGATCAAAGCTGTCACGCTGAGGGCTGAAGTGTGCCTGAACCAACCCATGGTGTTTTCAGTCACCTCATAAGATCGATGTCTTTGAATTCTGGTGTTGGCAAAGAATGGTGACAAGACCACGGACTGCCAGAAGACAGACAAACCTGTCTTAGAGGAAGTGTAGCAGAATACTCCTTAGACAGACGCTGTACGCTGGAAATGTTATCGGAGACAGCAGTTTCTGGAGGGCATTCGTGGTGAAGCAGAAGTCAGTGCGAAAGAGGAAGACCTCAAGGAGGCGGACTGACACTGTGGCTGCGACAGCGGGGTTAAGCACAGCAACAACGATGAGCAAGGTACAGGACCAGGCACGGTGAGTTCAGTTGTGTTGCTGAGTCAGAGCTGACTCGACGGCAATAACCACCAGGAACGCTGGCTCAGGACTTTATGTACGCCAGGTCAGGCTCTGGATACTTACGTAGACTATATAAACAGTGTTATTATATATAGCGTTAGAGTATACACTAGTACTCTCATTTTACAAATGAGGAAATTGAGGTACAGAGGGATGCTAATTAACTAGTCTAAGTAGCTTCTCACCTTTTCATAGTGAAGAAAGCAATATATAAACCCAAAGTTGTCCTGAGCCTGCACTGAGCTCCTGGGCCATAGCGACTCGCTCCTAAAGCAAAAGCACATGCCATGCTGTGGCTGTCTCCCTTCCTTTCCCCACCTCTCTCTCGTGGCTTACAACGTGTGACAGCTTCCTTGACCTGGTGAAAGCCGCAGTCAGGGCCCTTGCCGTCCACGTAGTACATGAAGCGGAGCTCAGGAGGATAGGAGGCCCGGGTTAAGCCAGAGAGAAGTGGGATGGTGCAGCCCTCTGCGGCAGGGGCCTCAGTCAGTGCCTGCAGCATCTGGTACTTGCACCACGGGTCTCGGAGGAAGCCAGGAGTGATGAGCAGCACCCGGCAGTGACTGCTGCTCAGCGCCTGGCACAACTCCGACACGATGGCGCCACCTGGGGTGGCATCCCGAAGCTGCAGGAAGCAGCGCAGGCTGGCAGGGCTGCCCTCCAGGTAGGACACCAGGTCCTGGGCAGCTGCCAGGTCCTCCTCACTGTGGCACACGCAGACGTCATAGTCTTTGCTCCAGCGGCCGCTGCTGCTGCTGCTGCTGCTGGCTTCCCTGGATGCTGGAGGGGTGGTGGGAGTCTTGACAGAGGTGAGGCTGGAGGGTGGGTGGCTGTCCTGTGAAGTTGCCTGTGGTACACCACTGGGGGCGCTTTCTGAAGAGCCAGGCCGCTTCTTGGGCTTCTTCAGCAGGGCCTGCCTGAACCAGTCTGTGGGAGAAACACACACTGAGCAGAGCAGAGCCCCAGCTGGGGCATGGGCTCCTGCACATGGGAAACCTTGCCTTATTCTGAGACAAATGACCAGTCGACTTTGGTGCATTCTTCTGGCCTTGCGTAAGCATTCCCTCTATCTTCAAAGATCCCAGGCATACACGAGAACATTGGATTCCCAACATGGGGGTGTCTTACCAGCCCGAGAAAAACGGCCTGGCCCTCCTCTCGCTGCCATCGAGTTGATGCCGACTCATCGTGGCCCGTAGGGCAGGATGGAACTGCCTTAGTGGGTGTGCCAGACCGTAACTAGTTAGGGAGTAAAAACCTCCATCTTTCTCCTGCTGACCTTGCTGGTAACCGCCCGATGGGTGCCCACTAAGCCACCAGGCAGGGCTCCTTGTGCTTCTTTAGGCTCTGAAACCCCAGGCTCTCCTTTTCCAGATCTTTCCACTAGAGCTGACTATCCAGCCATCTAGCAGCTCTATAAGGAGAGCTCTGTTGTGCTAATAAGAATTGGTTCCAAAGACCACTTACAGGACTGCAGGGAGGTGGATTTCTATTAAGATGGATTTGAACTAAGGTGCTGGGGAAGAATTTTGAAAGCACCATGGATTGCCAAAAGAACAAACAGATGGGTCTTGGAAGAAGTACAGCCAAAATGCTCCTTAGAGGCAAGGATGGCGAGACTTTGTCTCATGTGCTTTGGACATGTTATCAGGCTAGAAAAGTCCCAGGAGAAGGGCATCATGCTTGGTATAGTGGAGGGGCAGCTAAAAGGAGAAAGACCCTGGACAGGATAGACTGACACAGTGGCTGCATCTAAGGGCTCCAACACAAAATTGTGAGGATGGCAAAGGACCAGAGAGTGGTGCATTTCCCTCTGTTGTACATCGGGTCAGAACCACCTCAATGGTACCCAACAACAATATCCATCATGGGAGGTCCCATAGGGGCACTGACACCTCTTACTGAGCTGTCCTGGATTGCTGCCCAAAGTGCACAGAGAAAGCACAGGAAGGGGCTACTGCTCAGAGCAGGGGACGAGCACGAACTTCGTGGTCCCAAACCGATGGACACTGAGTCAGACACACACATGCGGACCTGCTGCTTGCTCTGTATGAACTTCAGCAAGTTAGGCCCTCGTCCCATTTCTTCATCTATAAAGAAGCTTTGTACGAATGTTTTGAGAATGATGAGGGCAACGAATGTACAAATGTGCTTTACACAATTGATGTATGTATGGATTGTGATAAGAGCTGTATGAGCCCCTAATAAAATGATAAAAAAAGCAAAAGCTTCGTATTAGTTGTCAGGGAGCTGAGCTGAGATGGCAGTGTCTGCTGCATTGTCAGTACTTCAGAATGAAACGAACTCAGCTGGCCTCGCTTTTGAGAGGAGCAGATAGTTTAACATTCTGGAGTAGTGGTTCTAATGCTGCGACCCTTTCTCTGTATCGTTCCAATTTTAGTATATGTGCCGCCGAAGCAAGCACAATGCTGCGACCCTTTAATACAGTTCCTCATGTTGTGGTGACCCCCCAACCATAACATTATTTTCGTTGCTACTTCATCACTGTTAGTTTGCTACTGCTATGAATTTTAATGTAAATATCTGATATGCAGGATGTATTAGGCGACCCCTGTGAAAGGGTCATTGGACCCCCAAAGGGGTCATGACCCACAGGTTGAGAACCGCTGTTCTGGAGAGTGAGTGGTTCTCCATCTCTCAGCGTGGCTCCTTTCTCATGGTTCGGGGAAAAAGGATTTTGATAGTAAGAGACACAATGTTGAATACTTAGGGCAGTGGTTTCCAGCTTAGGAGTTAATCTGGATGGACCTGGAAAACTTGTGAGCCAAGGGAACAGGTGAGTCCACTGCCTCTCTTTCTCCCCCTCCCTAAGGCATTCAGACTCAAGTCAGGAACATCACCCCAACACCTGCCTTCTTGCATCTCCTGCCTCATCGAAATGGACATTGTGGTCCGCACTCACAAGAACGAGATCAGGTCTGGTTCTACTCACCAGCCATCTTGCCCATAGGCTTCTTGGACTGGGAACGAGGAGCTGGCAGGGAGGTTGGTGATGCCATGGTGTTTGACCCAAAACGAACCCCATGAGGCCAGGCATTGGTAACGTGGCAGAGGGGAGCCGACCCAGTCTTGGCTTCATGAAGCAGCCATCCTTGAAGCGACACACAGAGAGCAAGTCACAAGAGCTGTTCCTACCCTGTTCTCAGCTCTAGGGGGTGAGCGCCTACAGGCTCTGTTTCTGGGGCTCATTCTTCAAATGGGGACCTCGTGGGGGTAGAGCCAGATACTAATGTGATTAGAGCTGCTTTCTAGATGCATCCAGATCTGTGGAATGTGGTCAGGCTTCTAGAGTGTGAGCTCAGCATGACTCTGCAGAGTGACTGTGCTCGGTTCCACTGGCCTAAGGGGACATGCTGAAGGGCAGCTGGCAGGCAAGTCCTTATGAGGACATCTTCTGTAAATACTGAAGTGAAAGGCCATTTGTTATTTAGACAAATAATTCTGTAACGAGCATGAGTGATGCTCAACAGTCGACCTCGGGAGACTTTTCCCGAAATCTGCCTTCCACCCGACTATCTGTTCATCGACACTCCGCTTGCGGAGGTGTGAGAAAGACTGCCCACTGCAGTCAGAACGCTGCACTCTCACCTCTTATTCATCACGGCCTTTGGCAAGCGACCAGTCTTGCTAAGCTTCAGCTTCTCCATCTGTAAAACAGGCAGTGTACAGACGCGGTTTCTTAGCCTTGTTATGAAGAATACATAAAACCCTCCATTGAACTGGCGCCTCTTTTGCCATGAGACCAGAAGAACTTAATGGTACCTAGCTACCATTATTGAACATTCTGATCAAAATTCTATTGAAGAATCCTGATTACAAGGAGGACAATTCTACACAGAATTTCAAATTCTCATAGACTGCAGATTTCCTCCATTCCAGAGGCTGAATGAATTCCAGAAACTACTGCTTTGAGATAATCTTTACGACTTAAACCAAAAGTAGCCCCCAGAATTCTTCAAGGTCAAACAGTAACAAAGCTAGTACAGGATATCTGCCTTGGGCATGATGCTTTTCAGGGATCTATTATATCGAAATAGGATCAAATTGACAGCCATAATTGAAAAGATGAGAGAAGAACCGTAGGAGGCGGTGAGCTTACAGCGCAGAAGAGGCGGGAGAATGGTGGTCTAATGCAAAGAAAGTAACCATTGTCACTGAATTGGTGTATATTTTTGCTGTGTGTATTCTCAACAAGGAAAAAAAAACAAGTGGCATTTTAAAAAAGATTCCAGGAAATAATTTATGTCAAGTTCTAATGAAGCCTGGTGTATCATAAATGCCCAGAAAATCTAGATATTGGAGAGATGCTCAAGGATGAGTAGACCCAGAATTGTAATGGCGTGTTTCCCCAAACTGATCTGCAGATCACTGCTATCCCACATTCCTAAACTGTGTGTGTGTGTCCCAGTGGTGGGGTTGTCAGATAACTTCTAAATTTATATGGAAATGCAAGGAACCAAGAATGCATTAAATTAACTCTGGTAAAAATCTTTAAAAATTATTGCGAAACTCGGCATGCTTTTCTTCCCAACACAGTGAAACTGTTTCTGATGGTAGTGGCCTTTAGCCCAGGTCCCTGGGAGGAGGCTGTTTGAACAGAGCTAGCCGCCTATTCGAGATGAAGCTGTCGAATTCAAGTGACACTTCTCCAGGTGACAGGCTGGCAGGGAGCTTGGCTGTAGGGGCAGAGCTGAGGAGCAGCTGGCAGAAGGGCTGCTTCCTCACTGTTTGCCAGATCTGCGGAGAACAAGGCAATCCTCCGGGAGCTCACACGGGGATATTACCCCAAACACCATCTCACTGGCATCAAGTCAATTCTGACTCAGTGACTCCGAAGGAGAGAGTACAACTGCCTGCCTCTTTGGGTTTCGAAAGCCTTAAATCGTATAGGAACAGAAAGCCTCATCTTCCCCCTCCAAGGAGTAGCTAGCTAGTGGTTCCCCACTGTTGACCTTGTGGTTTAACAGCCCAGTGCATAGCCCACGTGCCACCAGAGCTCTTCCAAGTAATAGTCCTAGACATTAAAATACGGTAACAATGTTTAGGGAATGCCATTCTAGGACTTGGGGCTCACAGTCATAGCCCTAAACAATTAGTTCCTACGACATGGCCCTCCTCAATAGCTGCCCTCAGGAAGGGATACTGAAGACATGGGCTCTACAGCAAAGTGTGGTGAAGAACCAGATGGTGCCCGGCTATCAGAAAGAACAGTGTCTCGGGTCTTAAAGGATTGTCTTCAAACAAGCAGCCATCCAAGTGAAGTGTTCACTTAGTCCACACAAAAGACACACACCAGGAAAAAAAGCAACACACCAGCCTGTATGATCCAAGGAATGCAAATAGGAAAACTAAATCCAGAGGAGGGAAGACTATCAGCGCTTAAGTTGTGAACATGTGGTGGGCAGAAGGCTATGGATACCAGTGGAAGCCCAAATCCATTTGCAAGGTCCCATGTGGATTAAGCCTCCAGTGGTTCTCTGACCAGTCTGGGGATGTGACTAGCCTTGCTATCAGACAGAGAGCTTTGTAAAGTCAATTATGGCAGATGAAGTTAGGTTAAAATGCAATATCTTACTAATTCATCTCCCTTTTGACCCATTTTAAATAGTTTTAAATAGTCTCTGCTTTCTTTTCGATTAAGGGTTTTCTCTCTTTTGCCACTGCTGTTGAGGTTTCTTTGTCTCTTTTTTTGGCATGTTCTTCTGTATATGAAATCCAGGCTAGGTAAATTGATGGAGATAATAACTAGATGATTAATAATTACCTAGCGGCATGGCATAGGAGTCCTGGTGTCATAGTGGTTACGCATTGGGCTAGCAGAAAGGCCAGCAGTTTGAAACCACCAGCCACTCCAAGGGAGAAAGATGAGGCTTGCTACTCCTGTAAACGTTAGAGTCATGGAAACCCACAGGGCAGTTATGCCCTATCTTCTTCTCCCCCGACTCTACAGTTGCTAGAGTCAGTATTGACTCCACGGCACTAAGTTTTTGGGAGCAACAAGCCAGGAAGGTCGTGGGAGAATGGGGAGCTAACAATAATGATTATGAGAGTAAAGGAAATGTTCTAAAACCTATTGTGGTAATGACTGCATTACTCTTCTTAATGACTGAACTATTGTATGATATGTAAATTACATGCCACGAAAACAGTTTTAAAAAAGGAACGCCAGTCTGTGTTGGAGCTCGTGAGACTTACAATGAATTCTTATGTAAAGAATTTGGTCTTTGTCCTTTGTTCCTAAGAGATAACCTTTAGCACAGGAGTCCTCAAACTTTTTAAACAGGGGGCCAGTTCACTGTCCCTTAGACTGTTGGAGGGCCGAACTATAATTTAACAAAAAACTATGAACAAATTCCTATGCACACTGGACGAGTCGGCTGCTAAGCAGGACAGGCAGCGGCGGCAAAAACACCCGGCGGGCCGGATGAATGTCCTTGGCGGGCCGCACGGCCGTAATTTGAGGACCCCTGCTTTAGCGCCTTGGGATTTCCTCAGTCCTTGACATGTCTGGTGAGGCTTCCAGACCACACTTGTTGGTTTATGCTATGAGGTACCCCTTTCTGGCCTGGCCACAAAGATACATTACATATCTCAGTGAAGGGTGGGCTGATTCAGCCAATCATGCCTTTGTACTGGGGAGCCAATAAAGGCTTTGATCATGGCAGCTTATGAACTTCCTGGTTGGTGATAGCCATTAGTGCAAATGGAAGGTGGTGGTGGTGTCACATGCCATTGAGTCACTTCCGGCCTACAGTGACCCCATGCACAATAGAATGACACACTGCCCAGTCCTGTGCATCATCACAAGGGTTCCGATGCTTGAGCCCATTGTTGCAGCCATGGTGTCAATCCAGCTCCTTGAAGGCCTTCCCCTCCTTTGCTGCCCCCCTCTACTTTACCATGATGTCCTTCTCCAGGAATTGGTTTCTTGTGACAATATGTCCAAAGTTCTATAAGGAGCCTCTAAGGGGCACTCTGGCCATGCTTCATCCAAGACAGACTGGCTTGAACCTTTAGCAGTCCCTGTTATTTTCAACATTCTTCTCTCGCGCCACCATGTGAAGGCATCGCTTCTTCTTCAGTCTTCCTGAGTCAGTGCCCCACTTTCACATGCACGTGAGGCACCTGAAAATTCCAGGGCCGAGTCAGGTGCTCCTCAGTCCTCAAAGCAACATCCTCGCTTTTCAACACTCTATAGAGGTCTTATGCTACAGATTTACCAAATACAGCATGTCTTGATCTCTCTCTCTCTCTTTTTAATTAATTATTTTTTTATTTTCCTCTCTTGATTTCTGCTTTCATGGGCATCGATTATGGATCCAAGCAAGACAAATTCCTCGACAACTTCAACCTTTTCTCGTTTATCATGTTACCCAGGACCCAGTTGTATGGATGTTGGCTTCTTTACATGGAGTGGTCATCCATACTGAATCCTTGATGTTTGTCAGCAAGTGCTTCAAGTCCTCCTCCCATGGGGGTAGCATGTCCCTCTTTGCAGCCCCAGACCCCTAGACCTTGCTTCATGACTCCTCATTTGTATTCCTTTTGCAATAAAACTATAATCATAAGCAGAACACGTTCCTAAGGAATGTGAGTGGGAGCCTGCAGGTTAGAAGTGAGGGGGCGTCTCTGGCATACTGGTTACTGGCTGGGCTGCTAACTGCCTGGTCATCAGTTCAAAACCACCAGCTACTCCATGGGAGAAAGACAAGGATTTCTATGCCCATAAAGAGTTACAGTCTCTGAAGCTCATAGGGGCAGGTCTATGTGTCCTATAGAATTACGATGAGTTGGCATCAACTTTATGACAATGAGTGAGAAAGAGTTACAGTCTCAAAAACCCACAAAGGTAGTTCTACCCTATCCTACTGGACAGTGCCCAGCAGGAGAAATCAACTTTGGGTTAAATGGACAGAGTCATAAACTAATGTGTGGTAAATTCTTTCAGACACTATTCTTAAAAAAAAAAAAAAAGAAGTGAGGGGCATCCAACTTACAACTGACATCCGTAAGGGGCAGTGTGAGAACCCAGAATATATAACCAGTGGGTCAGAAGCTAGCATGTTGCATGGACCCCTAACCTTGAGGGTGGCATCTGAAATGTTGGGCAGACTTGTGAGAAAGCACAGCTTTCTGGGGCTAAGGGCACAGGAAGAAGTGCTGCATGCGCAGTGACCTGGAATTGAATTACTTCGTGACCTGGAATTGGTCTTTAAAGACACTACGTCTGTGTTCACTGAAGCTAACTACTACTATGCCCTGTTGACAAACAGAAAATACATCATCAGAGACACGACAGCTATGTTCATTGAAGTGAAAAACTACTATACCATGTTGACAAATACAAATACATCAGCCCAAGGGACATGAAAAGTTGACCATGACTGTGCATATGGTCCCTCCCTACTCGACATTCTTTGGATTTCAGAACACCTAGGGGGTACCTCAGTCAAGGCCCTGTCTCATGCCACTGTGGTAGGTTTTGAAACCCCTTTCCTTTCCTGGTCAGGGATCCCTGGCTTCCCACATCTTCATTTCGGCCTTTCAAAATGGCCCTGGCGGCGGCCCCCCACCCCCCCCATTTAGAGACATTAATGCCATTTGGCTTTTATGCTCTTACTTTTTTCCCATTTAAAAATTCATTATTTGGGCCTTGAAATAGTTTAAAAAGTGGAGAATCATTTGTTTTGTTTTTTTATTATCCGAAGGTTAAAATTAAATATGGCATTTTTATCCACTTAACAAATGTAGACTTACAAGTTTCCACCTCTTAAATTTCACATTTTATGCAAGGACTTGCCTTTTTGATGACACAATGGATGCTGGTTTTAGGCAGCTGTCGTCTTCACTGCTTGGTTAAGAAATCCAGTTGTCCAACAGCATATGTCGCCAGAAACAGATGGTATAAGCCCCTGGGAAAGGCATAATGGAAAAGTTTAAACACAGGACATGATGACCTCTTTGATAAAGGATACTAGAGCAAGGTGGCAGATCAAGCTCATTAGACATAGCCCTACTACACCCTCCTTGTAACTTTTCAGTTGTTATGTTGCTACGTTGTGGGGCTGTCACACATACAAATATGCTTTGACATTTACAGACTTCGTGACCTTTGTGACCAGTTGGGTCCATTCCAACTTGTGGGGACCCAACACCCACTGGCATGGGGTCTGTGTGGACCCACAGCTACCTTACACAGGGCTTCTGAAACTCCATCTTTACAGGAGCAGCGCCTCATGCTTCTCCTGAGGCGTGGCTGCTGGGTATGATTTGCCTGCCTCTTTGTTGGTAGCCCGACGCTTACCCACCAGCACCAGGAAGCAGACTGTCACGTCCTTCTCCTGCAGATGGCCTGGTGGATTCAGCCTCCAACCTTTTGGTTAGCAATCAAGCTCTGTCCCATCCAGGCTCCTCAGACTTGGTATTCCCTCCTCCCTCCCTCCAAAGGAACATCTGTCTTCTGTTTGCTTGCCAAGCACGCCCTCCACTCAGGTATTTTTGCAAACATGCTACATTAATTTTGGGGGGGGGGTGTAGATTTATGTATATGTTTACACTTTCCTACTTCAATTTTTAAACTGTGATTTGGGTGAAAGTTTATGGAACAAACAGGTTTTCCATTCAACAATTCATGTAAAGTTTGTTTTATGACACTGATGGCAATCCTCACAGTATAATAGAACTACTCCCACTTCCTGGGCATACCATTTCCCTCATCCTTATTGTCAAACTATGAAAATATCCTCCACAAAACATGTAAGACAATTAGCCTTGCAGGAGAGTGGTCATATATTGAGATGTAGTTTTCAAGCTGATAAGGAGATAAAGAAGTCAAATCTTCAATAGCTCTATCCTCTCTGGTTTGCCATGTGGCCTTGTGCTTTTTAAAAACTTGTCAATGAATACTTTAATTCCAGTGGGTAAGAAGCCCTGGTAGCATGGTGCTTAAGTGCCTGGCTTTAAAGGTCAGGTCGGTGGTTGGCACAGACCAGCCCCTCAACAAGAGAAAGGTGTGGCAGCCAGCTTCCATAATGATTATAGCTTGTAAATCCTTATGGGAAGCCCCATGTCCCATAGACATCATGGTATCAACTCATGGGCTTTTCGAATTTGCGTACTCACTTGATAGAAAGTTGTAAAGAACTTGTTCAGAAATGCAGCAGCATGGTATTTTTAGGGTTTTCTGGAATACTTTTCCAATGTTACATGTAGAAACTTAGTATGAGTGGGAAATATGAAGTATTAATTACTGGTTTAGTATTATCCTTCTAATTGTTATTACACAGGGAATGTACTGAAACCCATAAAGGCATGATTAGAATGCATATATATTTTTATCATTCACTCATTTCTATTAAGCTAAAATCACTATTGTGGTTCCTTTAATAATAATTCCCCAAAGATGTCTATGGAACCCTGGTGGTATAGTGGTGCATTGGGCTGTGAACAGCATAGTCGGCATTTCAAAACCAGGAGGGGCAGAAGAAAGAGTGGGCTTTCTACTCCTGTAAAGTTTCAGTCTCGGAAACCCACAGTCTCGCTGAGTCAGCGTTGACTCGAGTCTACGCCTTAACCCTCAGAACCTGTGAATAGCACGCACACCTAGATGGTCCTTCCTTTGAAACTCATCCTGCTCCTCAGTGCCTCGGGGCTCCAAGAGTCCCTTATATGATCTCCTAGTTTCATTTACCAGTGGATTCTGCTTTCGAATCTGCGCCCCGCCCCCCCGTGGGGTTCAGTGCTCCATTCCCCTGGAAGCTTGATGCCGTACGACTTTGTTAAGTCGATTGCAAGGCAGACACACCTCCATAGGTCTGTAACCCTAACTACGAGATGCTTCTGGTCAACATGTGGCAAAGACCTTCACAAAAGCAGAGGGAGCGTGGCTGTGGGCTTACTGGAGAGGGATCGAGCGAGCCTGAGAAAAACAAAGGCCGTGGTGGCTCAGGGGCTAAGCGCTCCCACCTGACAGTCACTCCGGCTGAGAAAGTCGTGGCTTCCATGGAGACCGCGAGCGAGGAAATCCCGCGGGCAGGCCTAGTCAGTCTGGGGTCGCTGCAGTCGGAACTGTTCGCTGGCACTAGGCTTTTGATTTGATGAGAGAAGCAGGACCTACAGTTAGAGACGCATGTAGCCAGAGCGAGGGTCTGCGGTCGAAAGTAAAGGGGAAGCTCCCGGAGTGAACTTTGGACAGAAAAGGCTTCAGTGTTCTCCGGGGGTTTCGTCACCCCTGTGGACAGGCTATGGGTGCAAGAGGGCGGTCAGGTACACGGAAGAGGGGCTCGACTCCAGAGGGAGGATGTGCCGGGGGGCTGGGCGGAGGAGGAGAATCGGATCTCGGACTGAGGGCGAGAGAAATGCCCAGAGATCAAACCTGGGTACCATACCCCTCGGCCCGCGCCCGCGCCCGCGCCGAGGGCTCACCTGGGAGGCTGGTCAGAGCAGGTCC